TGCCCCGGGGCTTTCCCAGCCGCAGAGGCGGGCTCTGCGCTTGCCTCGCTGGCGAAAGAGGGGAGGAGGGGGAGGCTTTCACATCCTCAAACGCCAGGGAAACATCTGCCGCGGCCTCGGTGGCCCAGCTGCCCGGTCATACGTATTTCATCCCAATCCAGGAACGTACCGGCACGCCCGGGCCTCCGCCTCAGGGGCAGCTCCTCTGAAACGGGGAGGCCTGCGGTGGTGCGAAGGTCCAGAAAAAAAGAGAGCAAAGAAGTTTCCATTGCAAAAGCAAACAACTGCTCTCGTCTAGTCAGTGAGCTGTGCTGCTCAGCTCTTAATGCCTTGGTACAGAAAGGCAGTTAAGAAGGTGTCTGGAATCACAAGGCCTGTGCATGTCTCTGTGGCGTAAGAGTATTTAAGTTGAAGTAGGTTAGAGAAACCATTTTTTTTTGAAGGAATGGAGGAGAAGAAAATTACAGATTTGGGAAGCAAATGAAGTCTGGCAAGAAAATGTAACTGTTTTGGAAAATCTGGTATGTTACTGTGCCAGGGAAGAAAAATAGCTGTTTACATCAAAGAATCAAAAAGGTTCCACAGGACTCCTTAAGTAAAGTAAAAGGCAGACATCTAGTAAAGAGTACTTGCTTAGCTGTATCACCAGGTTATCAGTGTTCCTCCTTAAGTAAAGCATGGGATCACTTCTGAAAATTGATATAAATAATTCAGCCTTCCATGGTAAATCTACTTCCCAGAATAATCTGGACAGAATCTCTGTCAATGAAATCGAAGATGAAGCTTGAATTGCAAGAAACGTCAGTCTGCAACACTCTGTATTATTTCTAATGTAAAACTGAATATATTTGATAAGGAGATTACTGTCGGTAAATAAAGACAGCAGTAGGACATTTTAAAGGCTTGTAACAGGCATAAGTCAAATTTGAAAGCATCTTTTCATAAACGTGAATGTGCGGTAGAAAGTGGATAGGAGGTGTTTCAGACAAAGGAGTCTGTGTTTGCATACTGTTGGGTTAGCCTTACAGTGCTGGTACTGCATATATAGTATTCTCATTATTCACTTTTTAGCTCTCTTAGTTCTTTCGACCTATAGATGAAAAATGTCTTAATAAAGAAGGAAGCTTTATTTATTATATTCTGCTCCATCAGCAAACTACTCCAAAGAAAAATCAACATGATTCTGCATCATGGAACACAACTTTTTCTTACTATAAAGCTGTACCCTAATAGATGTTAGACCCATTTCTGATTTCATGTTAATAAAGAGCAAGTTAGGAATTCAAGGAAGTTAACATCTGTGTGACCCTAATGTGAGAGAATTATCAGACACTGTGCCCTCATTTTTCCTGACAAGACCACAAAGTAAATGCCCCATAATGTTAATTGTGTCCAAATAAGCATAGTTTAATTGTTCTGCAGTACCAGATATTTGCAGATGACATTGAATTCATGCAAAGAGGACCTCTATAAATCAGACTGCTTTTGTTTAGATTGCTAAATGAAGACCATTGAGCTTGGGATTTGGAAATGAATGCTGCATGTTCTGACCTGCTACATTAATGGACTTGCCAACCTGATAGAACAAATGGCAAAACTCTGGAGGAAATTAAGCTGCATGGAAAAATACAATGTCAATGTGCTTTATTCATTCCAAGTAATAATTATTAATTTTATGTATTTGCACATAGCTGCAGTTGTGTTTGATAATTTTTCTTGGTGTTAAATCTATGTTTCTATTTAATTCATATTTATGATACCAACAGCTTATTTAAAAATACTTCAATGAAACACTCTACAATCCTTAGCAAGACTGAAGACTTCTTAATTTTGCCTCGGCTGGATAAATAAGAACTGTTAATGCCATTTCAAGTTGTTATGTGTGCCCACTGGAATGACTAGGTTACTGTGTTATGGCATGAACCCTATTTCACGCCAGGAGATGTTTCATTGTGAGGTTGTTTCCATCGTTACCAAGGAACACAAAACCTCTGCTCATTCCATGGCTGTGTTCTTTCTGTACCAGACTAGATAGATCTCTTTTCAGGAAAAAAATTCACTGCTTCAACTACTGTCTTGCTCTTTATGGTTTCTATGTACGGATCTTCTGCCCTCTGTTTTTACTGTGGTTTGTTGGCTAGGATTTCAGAAACTTGGAGAAGCAGGAGCAAGTGGAATCTTCTGAATTTACTGTCACATAGAAACAATAGAAGAGAACGACTGTGGTTTCCCGTGGAGCTGAAGCACGGGCAAGTGCCTTGAAAAAGTCCACCTTGTCAGCTGAACCAGTTCACAGGATGGATCACCAACAGAATCAAAGTCCATTAAAGAATACGTGTGTGTCAGATAGAAGAGGTCCTCAGAACAGATGTGGGTTTCCAAGCAAAGCAAAGAAAAGCAGTAATTCTCACTTTCATTTCAATCAATTCCCAATTCCAGGATGGCCAAATTGCCCTCTATTCCCTCACCGAATTGATGTGCCTTTAGTGGATCCCTGCTCAGGTTTTGTGAGTCCAGGAGCAGATGCTGACCTGAAGCCTAATGTTGGAAGAGTTATTGAATCCCTGGTGGACTACAGTGATGTGAAGCCTCACCAGCGGATCCCCATCACAGGACAGAGAGGCCCGACTGCTCACAAGAGGCATATGATCCTCCTGCAGGAAACCAGCCAGAACAGAAGGTGGAACTCCAGGAGTGTACCAGCTGCTTCTGTCAAGGCAGAACTCAGAGGTAAAGCAAACTATTGTTTTTTATTTCTTAATCAACAAAGAAATTGGTGATACTTAACAAATAAATACAATCAGTTTATTCACTCCGTCTCCCGATGTTCTAAAAGAGCAACATCTTAAAATATATTTGGCCTGAATATTAGAACAGACTATTTCCTAACAAGCTACAGTGTGGCACATTTAAAGACCCAGTCCAGTGTCTAGTTGCTTGAAGAACAGAAGTTCTTTAGCACTGCCATCCCATGTTGATCAAAGTACGTATAACCCTCTTCTTTTATATAAAGGTGTTACACATAAAGTTGAGTCTGATCACTTTCTATTAATTGTAGCATCAAAGTGGAAATTCAGTCTTTAACATGAAGCAAAATTGGATTGATGGTTAATATTCAGAGTTTTCTGTTTGACATTTTGGAAAGCAGAAATACCTACCCAGGCCTTCTAAGGGCAAACTTAATTAGCAATAAGGAATATGCTTGAATTTTTGAAAAGATTAAGCCAATTCAAATTGTTTTTGTAGAGAAGTGCTCATTACAGGTAGAAAAAAAAATTATGAGAACTCGGGCAACTTGCTTATGGGTAAGGAAAGGCGTTTCTTAGAACATGATAAAGAAATGTAAAGAAGCTGCTCGTTCCATCTCACTCCACATTTAGCTCTACTTTTATCTGTGTTATTGTCACCATAAAGTCTCCAGGTGCTATAAATTCAGGCAGTGGTTTTGGTTCCTTGTTTCTGTCTTCAAACTTTGCATCTTAAATCACTTTAAGCTTGCTACAGTCACATAATAAAACCCAAGAAACCACAAGGGATAAAAAATAGACTCCATAATTTTCCTTTATTTTCTTGCTCACCCCATACAATTTTCACTCATATTTCTCTAGTTACTGTGTTCTCAGTTTACATATGAAATTAGGCATCAGACACCAATCAAAACTGATCAGCTGTTTTTTTCTGCAAGTCTCTGTAAAAGGGAAGGGGAAAGAAGATTTGAAAAATGCAATTCTATCTAACCATTAATTTTTCAGTGTAGAGAAAAGCAAAGAGACAGAGATACTCTGGCAGATAGACACAGCTGAGATGCATACAGACAAAATCTGATTTTTCAGTCTATAACCTGGGTTACAGTCAAGAAAGTGGAGTGAAATGGAGAGAAGTTCCAGAAAGCAGATAGAAACTGATGGCTTTCTGGTGATTTTTCATTGGGTAAAGCTCACTATTAGAGTGAAATACTGATTCCACTGAAGCTGTCAGAAAAAGTCAAACTTCACTCAGGGACAAATCTTGGAACAGATACAGTCCCGCATGAATTTCTTAAGGAAAGCTGTGCAAGTGTTCTTCCAAACATAATATTCATTTACAAGTTTTCCTGTGATGCTGAGGTATTAACCACAAATATGTAAATATATATATAAAAAGTAGTTGAGTTTTTAGCTACTATTTTTAATGAGACTGCATAAACCAATTCAAGATTTCAGGTATATGATTTAGAAAGCTACCAGCCGCCAGGCACATGGTGTGATGAAAGTTGCTAATCCCTCTAGATAGCAGTCATGAGACATTCCACAGCTAAGCTGTTAGGAGAAGATGTACTGAAAGAGATCAGTCAGGCATTTTGCAATCGAATTCTACAGTCACACTCTCTACTGTCCCAGGGATGAACATAAAAATACACAAGAGAAACAGCCTTTGAGATGGATGAGCTGAGGTATATAAAACATCTGCAATAGACTTGAGGTTCTCTCTTGTAAGAAGGTGTAGCACTATGGCTTTGGGAGTCAACAGTGTTACTCTGAACTTCCCCAGCAGTCTTTTGCACCTACTGAGCAAAGCAAGTTGAAATAATTCTGGTTGCATTATACTCATTTTCCGATGTCCTTTGTATAGGAAGAGTTCCCTTCCCAGTGCTTCCTCTCCTGAAGCAAGAAGCATTTTCTCCTGAGTAATGATTACTCTGGAGAAGTAATCAACCAGGAACAATCCAGAATGAAGCAGCACATTGAGTGTGAAGCATATCAAAGTAGGATTCCACTCTCTCCTACCTTTCAAATAATGATAGAAAATTGCTGTATGCAATGCTGGTGCAGCCCCAGTTTGTAACATAGGTACTTAGTGAGATAAAACCATTTACCTGTGTGCAGAAAGAGAAAGAAGAAAGGTTAGTCAGAGGCAACAGCTTGTAAAGCAAAGAGCGAAAACATTATGCAGCTTGAAAACCATAAATTAGCTATTCAAGGACACTCGTAAATAACATGCATAGCTCATAACTATTGTAGCATATAAACAAAGTCAACTAAAAATGCAAAATGGCCTACAGTAGGGGCAAGAATATCTGTGCTGTTAAATAATTACCCATAACACAATGAAATATATAATGGCACAGTGCCTAATAAGCTAGTAGTTCACCTGGAAATAATGCATAAAAACTCAGAATAAACTCTTGAGGGCTGAGTGCCATCGAATAAACAGCTGTGGTTTCACTAAGGATTTGATTATTTATGGTCCCTACAGTTACGTATTTCACTGTCCTTTTTTTTCACTTGCCCTATAGCAAAGTGATGCTTTATGTGTTCAACAAATTTGTTCTATCTCTGTAGCTTCTTTTGCTGAGCATATTTTCCCAATAGAAACTGATGGTTTTTATGCTTATTTATAATTAGTTTTCGGAGGGTGATTTCTAGCCTTTTCTTTGAAAGGAATAGAAGAGAGAGTAGTATTAACAGGTTATATGTATTTATCATATATAAAGAGACGTAGAATAATTAACCAAAGACCTAAGCAAAATAATCAGGAAGAGTTATCCATATGCCCATCCAGTTGGTGTTACTATCTCTTACTGGGCCCATTAAAGCTAATACCCCTACTAATTTAAAAATATACAAGGTCAAAAACAGTGCAGACTTTTTGAATGGTAGTGAGGTGCAGTGAAGCTTGCAAGACTGCTGGTTTTGTGGAAACTATCTGCATATGTCTTTATATGATGACATAAAAATCCCACTTTTTCCTTTAAAATTAAACCAAAAAGATATTCTGGCTTTCATGACTTCTGGGAAACAGCTGAGAAATATGTATGAGTGCATCTTCAGTTTCTGACTCCTCCGAACCACAAGTTCCCCAAATTCATTATCCATCACTGAATCCTGCTTTGTCCGTTTAGGAGATTAGCTTAAGTGATAAACTGAAACTGTCAGTTTCTCGTGTTCATAGAGAGAGTGGTGTGATGACTGTGTCTGTCTACCTCTTTTAGTATGGTATAATGAAGTACATTTTACAGATACACCTTTCCCAAAGTCACCAAAAGCAGCATAGTAGTTAATAGCACAGCAGTTTGAATGGTGTTCTCATACATATCTTATTTATAGGATTATTTTGTGAGGTTTATCCTGATTCCTGAAAGATACAAGTTGTTTCTTTGTATGTTGTGATTTTTTTTGTTTTGTTTATCTGTTGATTCTCCTCTAATGCTTTTTAACCCCACTGGCCAATTTCTGCCAAATTTGATGGAGATACAGGCATCCGAAAAACAATTGCATCCCTGAAAGATTTCTGGAAGTTGAAGTCTGTGGAGAGGAAAGACATAAATGGGTGTTCTTCTTGAGGGAGCTGAAACTCATAACATCTTTCTATTTGGCAGTAGCTTCCCTAGTTATCAGCATGTGTGTACTGGCTCAGCAATGAGTACATATGTGACTCTACAGTAACTGCAGGGAATGGCCTCTCAGGGGGAGAGCCTCTCATCAGGGAGAGCTCAAATTATTGGAATATGAAGTTGGGAGGATGAAGAAGAGAGAGAACTGTCTTTAGGAAATCTGTCACCTCCTGGTCAAGGAACAGCTTATTTATTGCTTTTAGGGCTGGCAAAGATTATGTAACTGTAGAAATGCAGTTACTAGGTCAGGCTGCATTAACAAACTTTAATTATTATGTTTGCTAACTTGGATACTTTCCTTCATATAGTTAGTACTATATGTGGAGTAGGCCAAACCATAGCAATGTATGTTGAGGTATTATCACTTACTTTCATCTTCCATGTAATTTAATGTATTTTTGTGGAACTTTTTAATTCAGAGTGTAACTGAACATTGGTGCATCCATTTTTATGGGAAGCCATAAGTTTTCTTCATCCCATTTATAACAACACCGTTTTCTGCAATTTTATTGACACAAATGGAGATTTATCTTTCAGGTTGGAGAACTCCAATGAAAGCTGCTCCCACTCTACCTGACCGAAGCCATATTTTTACATTTTGTTTGGAACCCAGTCTCAAGGTAAGTGTCTCATGCTCTTCTTGGAATGACAGGAAGCATATTAAATTACTTTGTTTCTAGTCTGATTTCCATTTTATCTACCTATGGCAGTGATTGCAGTAGTTCAGTGTAACTGGACTTTTTAATTTCTCCATTTAATTATATTGAGCTAAGACCTAGATTTCAGGTAGCTGTATGTTACCATGGCCAGATTTTCATGGTGTCCATCATTCTGATAATTTTCCCTTTTTGTAGTGTAACTCTCGTTAAGACATTTAGACTATAATGTGAGACAGGTACTACCAAAGTCAGTTATGTGTAACTGGAGACAGAGCAAAAATACCAGAACATAAAAAAGATACCAAAATCTCATACTTTATATAAATACTAATGAATTTTCTGCTTAGGCACTGTCTTATTTGGTGCAAATCACAAACAAGTAAGCAAATCAAAACACGTCAACGATTCCATAACACTAGTCTAATTAAGTCATTCCCATTCTGAAAATAGCATTCTTCATCCTTCTACGCTGATGAAACTAGTCATAGTCCTTAAAGTGTTGCACATAATTAGTTAGAATAGAATAGAATAGAATAGAATAGAATAGAATAGAATAGAATAGAATAGAATAGAATAGAATAGAAAACAGCACAATAGAATAGACTGTTTCAGTTGGAAGGGACCTACAACAATCATCTAGTTCAACTGCCTAACCAATTGTCATGGTTTGACTCAGGATCAACAATTGAACCAGAGACAACAATGCTCTCAATCCCCTTCCGCTCCCAGCCAGGTAGGGAAAAGAGAGAGTAAAGAGACTTTCTGGATTGAAAATGAAACTAGACAGCTTTAATTAAATACTAATCATAGAAGAAAATATATACAATTATCTACAAGTATGTTCAGGAATGTGCAAATCCCTGTTGCCTCCCCCCAACCCCAGCTACTCCCCCGGCATCTCCTGAGCTGTGAGCAGTTCCAAAAGCTGCCAGAGAGAGTGGCAGAGCAGACAGAAGCTGAGGGGAGAGTGATGAGGTTCAGGAATGCACAGGCCTAGGGATCAAAGGAGACAAGTAGATGGAGTCCTCCCTGGATTTCAGCCATGAATGGAAGAGAAGGGAGAAGAAGAAGGGCTTGATATCCATGATCTCTGAATTTCTACCGAGAGCTATGTAGATATAAGGAATGGAGTACTTTGGTTTGCCATCTTTGCTGTCTGTCTAGCCCCCTCCTCCCTGTAGAAGGGTTATAGATGCAAGTCTTCTGCTCCCTGCAGTATCCAAAGCAGTAGATTCAACAAGAGCAAAGTGTCCTTCGTCTCTCGGCAGTATCTATAAACATCAAACGTCATCAGTCCACTAGTTGGAAAACTTGTGTGCTGCTTAAAAGAGAGTTCACAGAAGAAGAAAAAAATCAGTAAAAAGAAAGTTGGCTTCATCCTGGCTCAAACCAGGACACCAATTCAGGGCTTACCAAATTAAAGCACGTTGTTAAGGACATTGTCCAAATGCCTCTTAAACACAGACATCAACAACCTCTCTGGGAAGCCTACTCCTGTGTTTGACCACCCTCCTGGTAAATAAATGCTTTGTAATGTCCAGTGTAAATCTCCCCTGGCACAACTCTGATCCCTTCCCACGCATCCTATTACTGGATCCCAAGAAGCGGAGGTCACCCCTCAGAAAGTTGTGGAGAGCAATGATGTAGCCCCTCAGCATCCTTTTCTCCAAACTAGGCAAATCCAGAGTCCTTAGCTGCTCCTCATAGCCCATAGCTCCTCCCAGCCCTTTTACTAGCTTTGTTGCCCTCCTCCGCGTGCATTTGAGGACCTTCACATCCTTCTTAAATTGTGCGGTCCAGAACTGCACACAGCACTCAAGATGAGGCCCAACCAATGCTGAATACACTGGGATAATCCCCTCTTTTAACCAGCTGGTCTTGCTGTGTGTGATGTACTCCAGGATGTTATTTGCCGTTGTGACTGCCAGGACACACTGCTAGACTCATAATGAGCCTGCTGTCACCCAGCACCCCCAGATCCCTTTCTGCAGGACTGCTCTCAGCCACTACACTCTCAAATTATACTTGTGCCCAGCATTACTCCATCCCAGGTGCAGAATCCAGCATTTCAGCTTTTTAAATATCATCCTGTTATTCATAGCCCAATGCTCCAATCTCTCTAGATCCGTCTCCAAGGCCTCTTGTCCCTCACAAAAGTCAACAGCACCTCCCATTTTGGTATCAGCAGCAAACCTCCTGATGGTGCACTGAAGTCCTGCATCCAGATTGTTGGTAGATACATTGAATAGAGCTGACCCTAGAATTGAACTCTGAGGGACACAATTTGTAGCAATGAATATCATACAAACACATCAAGCATATTTGTGGGACTGCAAAATGTGTTTGCTATGCCATTTTATAAAAAATAGAACAAATGGAAAGCTACATTCCTGAGGAGTAAGAGAGGCAGGGATATTGTTAGTTTTTAAACATATATTCAGTATATTAAATTTTCCTCTCTGAGTAAAACTCCTCAGAAGTAGATCCATTCTTGATCTCCAATGCTGGCTGGTGAAGTATGAGAAATGGCATGTTTCACACTCTGATGCAAAAGAGGATACCAAACTGGGAAAGTGCATATACGTACTGTTTGCTCTTTAAACAAGCAATCATAGTATTGTATACGCTGGTAGCAGTGCTGTCTGCTATGTGTTTTATTTCTTTTAGGAATCAAGTGACCCTTCTACAAGACAGAGAGAAGAAAAGGCAAGGAACTCTTTCTACAAGTCAAGTACTCAAAAGTGAGACACAGTTGCTTTTAAAAACAGTTTTTGCTTGTACTTTGCTTCATTTCTTCATCTTTTTCTACTATGTGCTTTAAGGGAGCAGGACATATAAGACTACAAAGCATTGTTCTAGCTCATGGTAATTCTTAAATTTTAACAGCATTTAGCATAGGATTCATCTAGTGAACTTTAGTTATCTAAAAACTTGCATCCAGTCTGTGCCTTTCATCTCCACTTCCTCTATAGGCAGTGAAGAGAAACCAGAGTTTCCAAAAGAGCATCCTGTACATCTGTCTTCAATGCCTGTCACAGGCATGATATGACTGGTGTCTGATCTCCATGTCTCGTCACACTTAACTGATTATTCAAATTTAGACAAAAGAAAACCCATAATTGCTGTAAGCTTATTGGTAGATAAGCTATCTCTTTCAGTTAGTGAGAAAGTTTTAAAGAAGGTAAGCCTGTGAAATTGTACCATAACTAGTTGTTCCTCAAGAAGAAACATATAATTCCAGGCTTTTTGTTTTTCTTTAAACTATAAATATACACCTTTGTTATTTTCTACATCCTTTTTTGTCACATAATTCCTTACTATCTAGCTACTGATGTAATTCACTAATGATTATACAGGAATTTTTTGTCTTCTTTTTTATTGCTGATCTAGAGCTTATGAAGACGTTCCTTGGGATGATATATTACCTTCTAAAATCCAGCCTCCAGAATCAACAGTGGAAGAGTTGGCTGATCCTGTTTCCCAGTGTTTCACAAAAAAGAGATACAATCTTGAACCTGAAATAAGCCAAGTCAGTGAACAATTTCTTGCCAACTTTTTTTAGGTTTTGTGAAAGAAATGTAGCCTAAATTTTGTGGGGCTCATATGCATAAACCCACAGCAATATTTTCAAATGTAACCAGTCCCAAACGAGCATCTAAAGCCATCAGCACACTCCAGTAATCACTTCAAATAATTTAATATTTTTTACCTCCCCTCCCTGTAAATTGGTATAGAAGAAGTTACACATGTACAGTACCAAAAGAGAGGGTAAGGATGTTGATGAAAAATTGGTTGCTAGGAATGATGATGTAGCATAACAAATCTCATGTTAAGTTAGTTGTGATTATTAACTGTAATAATTATTATTTTTACTAAACTGAAAGTTAGTCCTGCAATTGATTCTGATTGCTGCATGAAAATCTATTAAGTCAAATTAATTTGGTGATGTTCCCTTACAAGAAGCATCTGGTTGTCATTTTAGCTTGTCGGAGGCTTCTGGGACAGATTTCAAAGAAGATCATTTACCTCTCCAAAGAGACCTATTAATTTGTAAGTTTCATTTTTAATGTGAATATTAGGGTCCTCTGGATACTTCATTCCTGAAGTCTGTGTGCAGTTAATTATTGCAGAAGGCTAAATTTGGAAGCAGAAAAGATACGTGTGAAGTAGATTATTGACGTGACTCCAAAGAGCTGATGTTTTCATTGAGACCTGGCATTTATGACAACACTGTGGTAATCATACACATGTACAAACTCAAGATTTTATCTGCTGCCTGTAGAATCCAAACCAATCTCAGAATGGAGCATTTTAGATGGGCCCAATAAAGGGTGACAGGAGGGCTCAGATCTAAGAGCCAGGTAGTGATGGGGAAGGAAAGCTCGGTCAAAGCAAGATAGGAAAGCTAGATGTGCCTCCTTCCCAGGCCATGAGCCAACAGGTTTGCTTGGGCAAACTCTATGGACAGGTGTGCTACTGGGCACAGTCAAGCATACCGTGGGAAAGATAGGTCCATTTAGCATTTATGGCAGTCTAATAATTTACCACAGTCTTTTACCAAATTCAAATGAGCACTGCATCATTCCACGAGCAAAACTTTGACTTGTCACCACCTCTCTTTTGAGACCTCATAAATATTCTATCAGAATATTCTGTCTGGTGAAAAAAATTTGATTGATCTGTTCTGTCTTTAACAGTGTAAGCCAAAGCTGTCAGACTGGTCATATCCCTTTGTATACGTAAGTACAATGTCCCTGGTTTGTTTCTACTTTCTGCATTTTTTTATTAAACCTAAGCAATTCCATCTCTCATTTTCTGATGCAAGAGTTACAGCTGGCCTAAGTTATCTAATCTTAAATTTGTTTCTGGTGCCAAGGAAGAGTGTGTGCTGAGTCTCCTCTTCATGTGTGTGACTCCAGCCTTTTATCTGTAAACTAGAAATCAGGATCCATTATGTCCTGTTTGGAAAAACATCCCAACCTGATTATGGGCATAGCCAGAAGGGCAAGAGACGACACATATCTTTTTTCCATTCTTCCTAGGGCTCCTTTCTGCATCTATGTACTAGGGCTGTGATTTTTTCTGTGCTGCAAGTTCAGCAGATGATTGATTTCATCTTGGTACATGCCAAACACACAGTGCATGTTGTTTTCTTGAGGACCATTTTAATAAATAATTTTTAAAATGGAGCATGTAGTATATGGTTCAGTAGCCTCCACCAGCTGTCTTATGAATAATGTACATATCTTTGATTTCCTTTCTATCCAAACAGTGGCTGTGTTGGTGCAGTAGATTTTGAAGACATTGACAATGTTGATGCAGACTTAATCCTACTTAACCATGTGAGAACTACAAAGCCTCGCTACACAAGCACTGCACAGTATGTTTCTCTTACTAGTATGATTTTTTACTGCCTCTTGAGTTGTTACTTGTGAAAGGGGAAGAAACAGTTGAAAATCTTGTCTTTGGCCAAAAGAATGAAAAAAATAGGAGGGAATGCACCTTATTCTTTTTAATAATTTGAAAGAGGTCTGTTAACACATGAAACAGGGCTTTCAGATTCAAGGTTGAACTCCAAGAGTCCTTTTTAATAACTGAGTCAGTAGTAAATGGTAACTACAGTGGTAACTGCCTACAGTGGTCAGTGTAGGTTTGTATCATTCTAAGAGACCATCCAGCCTAAATAGAATTAGTTAAGGAAGCTGATAAAAAATTAGCAGAAAGATGTCTATTGAGATGATGGTGTAACAGATTTGATCCAGATGCTTATGTTATGGTAAGCTTAAATGTAACCTGTTTTGACCAAGTATTAATTTCTCATAGAACATTACGGCCAGATTCTTTATTATGTCACATTAGTGTTATATTGTCAGGGAAGCTGTGCTTCTAACACCAGGCATCAAGTTTTTCAACCAGAAATGTTGATTAGAGTTGCCCAGTGATCCTGCCATCCATCTAGTGCTGAGTGGTCATAATGAAGTGACAGTAGCTGTCTGTTGGACCAAAAGCTACACTTGGTGTGCCCATCCTGGGAAGGAAAAGCTGCCTGTGGTAACACCAGCACAATATATTGTTTTGGTGTAATGAACTCCTCACTGTCAGCAGACTCTGACCTAGGCTGGGATGAACATCAGAGTATACTCTCTCTCCTGCTCTTAACCTTGCTAGAGTAATTGCACAACCAAGGTTTAAGAACTCAGAGGCACCTTTTCTTTTTTCTCAATTGAAAAAGGCTGCATATGAAGCTAGTCTGATTGAATCTGCTAGATCATACCCCAAAACACCTGACTTGTGGTTCCTGATGATTCTGAGACTACCTAACACAGGCATTCC